AATATTATTTTTATTTCATGTTTTATTGATGTTTCTTTATCTTTACTGTAATTAAATTTAATAAAATGTGAAGATTAATTAAAAAGAATAATAAAATATATTATTTTTATTAAAATTTTTCTTTTATATAAAAAATATTATACGCTATTACATCATTTTGACGTCATCGTTTTACTTTTACATTAAGAAAATTTAACAATAACGTCACAATGACGTAAAAGTGTGCATTATTTAAATCGAATAAACAGAATATATATATATATATTTTTTTTTTCTGGATCATTATTTAAAGTAATAATAAATATATTTATTGAATTTTAAAATATCGATATTGCAATAATAATATATTTATAAATTTATATTTCGGTATAATTTAAAAATAAATTTTCTTCTTTAATGTAAAAAATATGATAAACAATCTATGTAAAAATTCAGATAAAAATAATATTTAAATAAATGAAACATATTTACGATTTATTTTCATTTTTTAAAAATCAATTTTATTAAAAAATCTGTTTTATATTTTACTAAATTCCAAATTGAAAAATATTAATTAAAATTTTTTTTATTTAATTTATTAATAAAATTTCATTAGATAATTTTCTTATAAATTCGTAATATACTTTTACACAATTTTTTTAATTTTTATAATTTTAAATCAAAGTATTAAAAAAAAAATTCGTGATATTTCATATGGAGTATCGGTTATGGCGCTGCTTAAACAAAGATGGCGCCGGGAGACTGGTATGGCGTTTATTCTAAATATAAGAAAAGTAATGTAATTTTAATAAAAAATATTTAATTCCGCGTTAAAAAGTATAGAAATAACTCTTTTACAATAAAATTATTATATAAAAAATTTACAAATCATCATTTAACTAACAAAAGAAAACAAAAAAAAAAATCAGTGAGGCAAAACATCAGAAAAAGATTAGAGCTTTCATTTTTTTATTTACTAATTTAAATGAAATTAGTAATTATTGATAATTAAATCATATTTTTGTTGGGATATGAAATTTTTTCTATCAATAATTCCTTAAATAATTTCTAATCGGGTTCATAATTAGTATCGATCTCGTTACCTGTTACTTTTAATACAAAATTAAATTTGTAGTAATGATAATCGTTGTTCATTTTAATCAACTTTATAAAGGTCAAGATATTCTTGTAAATTATGTGATCAGAGGATTTTCGAGATTATCTAACACCGCAATTCAACATTAAAAAATAAATAAATAAATAAAAAAGAATAAGGAAAATATATATATATGTATTGAATTAAATTTATTAGATTTTTACTAATATTATTTTATTGGATTATAAATTAATCCTCTTAAATCCAAAATATATGATAATTTTCTTTAAATCCGCTTTAACAATCCGTTTTAACACTTATGTAATTATCTTCATAAAATATGTTCTTTGTACTGTACAAATAATTTAATTTTTTTTAAATAGATTTTTTTTACGCAAACAAACAAATTAATCAGTGGATAATAAAGATAATTAATGATAAAAACAAAATAAATTTAGAAAAGTGACCATAAGAAATATATCATTAAATATTATTTGGATGTTGAGAAGGCAATAGAGGCTAACGAAGATGCTTGTTTGGATGTTGTTGAGATAATAAACAGAAAGGAAACCTATTGAAATTGCTAGGATGTGCCGAAAATAGTTTAAGAACTTGTTGAAGAATTGTTTAGGTACTTAAGTATATAAGTTTGTTGTATATATATATAATAAGCGTTATTGTTTGAAAGTTTCTCTCTAACTTGTATAGAAGTATTTGATGCGAATGATTCAAATTAATTTAAAAAAAATTAATTTTCTATATTTAAAAAATGTTTTTTTGCACTCTAAACACCATATATATTTTTATTTATAACACGAATAAGAATATTTTGATGGATTAATTCATCATAGACGAGATACAATCCCCAACATATGCATCAACGTCACACCGATGATGTTCACCATCAATCGTCTTTAGACATCCGCATCTTTTTGACTTTTACTTTCAGTAAAAAATTTTAGATTTTTAAGAATAAATTTCAATATGATACTACTTCAAATAAAACTTTTCAATATAAAACTACATTCTTTAGACATTTTAAAATAGAAATTCTTAATATAAAATGTTTACATTCTAGCAATAAACTAGAAAATAAGGAAAAGAAATTAAAATAATTTACAATTGATATTAAATTAATAATAATAAATTTTTTCATATTTTAAATTTTATTCTATTCTTTTATAATCTACGATTATGTATTTAATAATATACACATGTACGAATGACTAAAAATAAATGTATCGTTTTATATAGTTCTTGTATGTCTGCTACAAAAATATTATTTAATTTTACCAACTTTGATATAAGTTTTGTGTGTTTTATAATGCAAAAATTGTTTTAAAAAGTACTAAAATCAGAAAACTAATAAATGAAAGTGCCAAGATGAGAATACAAATGAATGATAACAAAATTTACGTTGGATAAAATCAGAGAAATAAATGAAAGCAATAAAACTAAAATAACACTAAGTGAAAGCAGTAAAATAAGTAATAAATTAAGCTAATGGTAATTTTTATTTTATGTAATTTATTCGTATGTAGAATGAAAGAATCGTGAAGAATAGAAAATAAGCCTATCCGTGATTAGGCTATTGTATTACAGGAAAAATAATGGTTTCAAATTGTTTCAGATAATCATAAAAGTATACTATTCATATTTATAACATCTTAAATAACAATTTAAAACACTTAAATAAAATATTTTATCCTGTAAACTAGCTATATATATATATATATAGTNTCCATTCCGAAGAATTTTTTCCGTTTAAGCAGGTTTTCGTTTTATTCAGGTTCCGTTTTGAACAGGTTTTACTGTATTTTAGTTTTATAAAAGATGGAATGCATCGTATCAGTCTTTATTATTTTATTTTATTTTATATTTTATGTGATTTTTATATGTAATTAAAAAATTATAAAACATAGAAAATAATTGCAATAGATAAGAAGTAGGCAGAATTAATAATATAAAGAAAGAAAAAAAAACAAACATAAAATTTTATTGGCTAAAATATTTCAAGATAAATATCAATTTTGGATGTATTCGATCGACTGGATACAGATTGAATCACGAATGGAATCGTCAAATTTGATCGAGCATAACGTGATATCACGTTATGCCCTATCAAATTTGAAGTTCTCAATAAAAGATTATGAATTCTCATAAAATAATCTAGTTTCTTATTGTTTTAGTTTCGTTTCTAGTGTATTCTTTTAGTTTACAATCAGTAAATGGATTGGATAATTCTATGCGTTTCACGTTTGGGCTCTTTTTGATTGGCTGATTGATTAATTAACGCGAGAAACCATCACATTATAGAGTATACGATCAGCCACAAATACTCCCATTATAGGCGGGCCTGACCTGCAATGGGTCGACTACCATGAATTAATTTTAAGAATAATGTTGATCTATATTACCTATAATAAATTATTATGGTATTAACATAATTCGATTTTAAAATTAAGAAATATTAAAAAAAAATTCTAGTTCGTTAATACTCATTACTTTTCTCTTCTATCTTGGCATATATAAATATGCAAAAGTTAATTATATACATGCCAAGACGTGAAAGAAAAATAAAAGAAAACTAAATAAAATTAACATTATAACAGTAGTCAATGTTTTTATTTTGTAAATAACAAATTAACATCTTGATAAGATCAACTTAATTTCGAACGAGGGATGAAACTTAATTGTTGTTTCTATTAAGTTAACGCTAGAAAAGAAATTAATTATAGAATCTTAATCGAACTTTAAAAAAAAAATAAAAGTCTATATAAATTTATCTAAAATAAACAATAGATTAAAATGTTCTCTCCTTTTTTTTTAAATCTTTTCACAGATTTTATATATTAAAACTGATTTAAATATTCGAAAAAAAAATAATTAAAATTCTACTTAAGTTATAATTTAATTGTTCATTTTGTGATATATTTTAGATTAGAATATAAGTTCGTCAATGTAGTAGGATTAAAACCAAATTAAACGTATTCCTAATATAGTTTAATTAAGAATCAAAATTAGATAATAGGATTTTTTCCCTTATTTAATTTAATTTTTTAATTAGATAAACGTAAGCTGTATCATTAGTTACTTTTTTTAGTTCGAATATATTGTGAACATTCACAAAAATAGAATTAAATCTAAAAAAAAGATTATTTAATTGTTATTATGTTACTGTAATGAATATAAAGACGGTTAGTACGTGCTAAAAACAATTTCGTACGTGTGTCTGATGCTATTATAACAATAAAGTTTAGTGTTTTCTAACAGAGAAATAACTACAGTTACAGAAAGAATTTTTTTTCCTATTCAAAAAAATGTTATTTTTTTCTTATACAAAATAAAAATAGAATTAAATAATAATAATAATAACAATATAGAGATTCATAAAATTAAATAAATAAATAAGTAAATAAAACAATTTTGATATGTAAATTTTTACTCACGATTATGTACAATTTAAATAAAATCTCATAATTNATATATATATTTTTTACATGATATAAATAAAAACTTTTTAATGAATTAAACCATTAATAATACAATTATATTGGAATAAAAGTAGTATTTAATTTTTCTAAAAACATATAACTAAATTAATTCTGGGTCCATAAACATGGTGGACGTATCTGAAAAAGTTGAAATCATTTTAGACTTGGAGAACATTTTACTATAGAAATATTTTAGTTACATTTATTTTATTATTATTAATTTTTTTTAATTTTATTACACATATTTTTAAATCTTGAAAACTCTTTAAAAAATACTGTATACTTCACGTGAATTAATGAAAAATTTGTTTTATTATTGTTATTATTATTATTATTATTATTTTGCTTTATAAGATTCCAAGTCCAAAATCATTTTTCACTTCTTTTTTTTTTTTTAATGATACATTTTCAAGATTTACAACTTCTGAAACAAAACAATTTTATTGAACCACAGTACTTTATATAACTTCATGAGCAATGAGGAAGTTAAAATAAGGCAATTCGAAACCTCCATTCTGGCAATGTGTTGTACTTTTTTTTTTTTATCCAATTAATAAAACGACACAAGTCCGACGGAAAACCACTTTGACCAAAATTTCTGCGGTCAAAAAATTAGTCCAATATTTCTTCATATGTTATATAGAGATTTTATTCATCGTTGAATGATGATTTTATTTTATTTTTTATTTTTATTTTTTTATTTTTATTATTTTTTTTATGAAAGTTAGTTCAGAGTGAACATACACACAGCCATACACATATTACACATTCATACTTATTACTCCAAACTGTGGCCACATTTTCACCCTGAGAACAGTTCGTATCGCACATCTTATTAACAGTTCGAGTCAATTCACCTAAGTACAGACCACAGGATGGACAGAAGTATATATAATGTCGTAAATTCGGGGTTTAACGATTTACTTCCGGAATGGGAACCTTTGCTGTCGTATTGCATGGCAGCTGGTTTTTCACCTGAAAATAAATTTTTTTAAATCAGAATTTATTTAAATAAATGTTCAATATATATCTACATACAGTAAAACCTGTGTAAGCCGGAATCGCACAGTACCGAATATTTTTCCTGCTTTGGCAGGTTTGTGTGTGTGTGATTTTTTAACATAAAAATAATCGTTCCATTCCGAAGAATTTTTTCCGTTTAAGCAGGTTTTCGTTTTATTCAGGTTCCGTTTTGAACAGGTTTTACTGTATTTTAGTTTTATAAAAGATGGAATGCATCGTATCAGTCTTTATTATTTTATTTTATTTTATATTTTATGTGATTTTTATATGTAATTAAAAAATTATAAAACATAGAAAATAATTGCAATAGATAAGAAGTAGGCAGAATTAATAATATAAAGAAAGAAAAAAAAACAAACATAAAATTTTATTGGCTAAAATATTTCAAGATAAATATCAATTTTGGATGTATTCGATCGACTGGATACAGATTGAATCACGAATGGAATCGTCAAATTTGATCGAGCATAACGTGATATCACGTTATGCCCTATCAAATTTGAAGTTCTCAATAAAAGATTATGAATTCTCATAAAATAATCTAGTTTCTTATTGTTTTAGTTTCGTTTCTAGTGTATTCTTTTAGTTTACAATCAGTAAATGGATTGGATAATTCTATGCGTTTCACGTTTGGGCTCTTTTTGATTGGCTGATTGATTAATTAACGCGAGAAACCATCACATTATAGAGTATACGATCAGCCACAAATACTCCCATTATAGGCGAGCCTGACCTGCAATGGGTCGACTACCATGAATTAATTTTAAGAATAATGTTGATCTATATTACCTATAATAAATTATTATGGTATTAACATAATTCGAACCCAGATCATACTCGTTTATTAATCTATTTTCAGTGATTAAAAAGTATTTCTCTCTGTCATCTCTATTATCCCGTTTTCAGATTAATAAATATAACAATTAGTAACAGTAATTAATTAATTAATGTAATTTTAATGTTAATTCATCGACTGAGTCATTCAATATTTCGACTTATACTTGTGATAATGAATAATTATAAAAACAGAATGTAACTTAAAAAAGCAAAGTATTATTTAATTATTTTCTGGGCTGTTATGTATATTATAACAGAGGGAAAGTATGGCAATAGGTCAAAAAATGACCCCCTCCCGAGATTTTTTACATTTTTAGACTCAAAGGATCTTGAAACGTCGAGAAATGCAAAAAAATTGGGGAGTTTTTTCTGCATGTGTGGATATTAGTGTGTGTAGGGGACACGATTTTGTTCACCCTTTTTGAAATTTAATTAATAATGCTTGTACAGTAGAGGAGAAGGTGGTATTATGGAACACCATTTTCATTTTAGTGAATTGTAAACAAGGTATCATAACTATACCCACATTTTTTGTGCGAAAAGTACTGGTAACTATTAAACTAAATGTTCCTAATTGGATTTTTCGCTAGTGTAACTGTAAGTATGGTTTTTGAAGGCTTCTGCACAAAAAGTCCGAAAGTAGGCTTAGAGAAAACCGGGTGGTAATATGGAACCTTACTGTATATTTTCAAAAAAAAATGCTTTAATGTAGCCAAAAACAAATAGGAAAGGACAAAAAATGTTAAATAATTACCAAATTATTTACTCCAATATATTTTATCGCAAAAATGCTTTTATAATAGAAAAATATGACCTCCATCAACAATATATATTCCAGCAGCTCTTTTTCGATATTCTCAGGAATAATTGGCTTTCTATCTAGTGTCTTTTTCACAAATCGCTCCGGACGAATGTCTGCTTGCAAATAGAGAGTTCGGAGGAGTTGGGTTCCATATTAAAAGCACCAACGGAATCGCCATGTCTGTCAAGACCAAATTTTAAAAAACGTGAACATCACACAGATTAATATGTATTGTACCCCTAAGTTTCTAGAACGGAATACGTGCACCAGTAAACCTACAAATACACGATTTATATTTTAAAAATAATTAAATTCACTTAGCATTCAAATTTTGAAAAACACAAATTTGCTGATTCACTACGGGACAACCATTTAACTGAAGTGAAACAGGTTATTCCCTTGCTATGGATGTCTGCCTAGTTCAGTTCAGCCACAATCCGCTTCAGTTCGCCTTTATTATCAGTTCGAAATGGAGTGGTTCCATAATACCCGCAGTGTTCCATAATACCACCTTTTCCTCTACGTTTTGTCGCAAATTCCTAAAATTTTTCAGGGAGATTTGTGTGTTAGGGGATTGATGCTATTAAATTTTGCAGGTTAAATGTCAATGAAATTGGGAGATAAAGGGGATTGTGTGTCATATCTCGAGTGAAGTCGGAATTAATGAAAATTTTACTCCTTATTAGCATTTGCAATTTTTATAAACGCATGTCTATCCTCAAAATGAAGCTTTTTTTTTGGTCATTTTATGATTAATAATACAAAAAATTTTAATAAAATATTATAACAGATGGCGCCACATAAAATTTAAAAAATTTTTCCAGGGAAAGTTACGCAACTCGTTGCTAAATTTTAAAAAAATTGAATTTAAGCAAAATGGAGTTTAATAAACTATCATAAATAAATTATTTATTAAACCTTATATTGTACTTAAAGCAAGTACAATACAATAAATACAAATCACTATTACTGTATTCTTGTATTTTAATGTATTATTCTATTATCCAACTAGTTGTTGTCTGTGAAAATTTAGTTAAAAGTTCGTATATAAAACAGTTTTAATTATTCGCAATGACGATATATATATCTATTCTCTAAAGAATAATACTAGTTCTTTGTATATTCATTGAAGGAAGAATAGAGCATGAGTTAAAAGCAAAGGACTCTGCAATCTACTGATGTACAGTACTGTACATGAATAACTATTTAATTGATCTGAATTATTCTCTGTATCCTGTTGAATTAAGAATTACTGTTAAAGATAAGATTTCTATTTAAAACTATGAACAAACATGGTCTGATGAATATCCACGAAGATACTATGGGCAGAAAACGATAGAGGGAGAAATCTAAAAAGTATTTTTACTTGAGAAAATATTCAGGAAACTCTCTAAAAATTATATTCAAGCAAGCAAAATTTAATAAATAAACAAAATTTATGATTTAAAGAACCATATTAATTTTATTTTATAAAGTATTATTTGAATTATTTCTTTGAGACAATTGTCTGAGAGAAAAGTAAAGAAGCTCAGTTACAGTTACGAAAGTAGACGTAACAATCTTTAGATCTAGATTGTTCTTTATCGAATTTGTTTATGATTATTAACTCTTATTAATAACATTTAAATCGGATTAAAGAAATTATAAATTATATGGATTATACTAATTATCCAATCACTAATACGATCATCATAATCAATGTTAACGAATCGATAATGTGATTAACGTAACATCTATAACTAAAATCATTATCGAAATCATCCGCTTAATAATTCACAAAATCGTTAATTTCATTAAGAAAAATCATCCATTTAATTAGAATTATTAATAAGAATCATCTGTTTAATTATCATTAACAGAAACATCAACTAGATTAGAGCAAGATCAAAAAAAAATTTAATCGATTAATTGTAATCAGCTGATTCACAGGATTAATAAAATTTAATTAAAATTCCCCAAAAAAATTATTTAAAAATTTTTATTTTAGTTTAATTTTTGAATTTTTTTTTAGTTTTTTAAATACGAAATGACATTTAAAATAGCAAAAATTAAAAAAAAATAAAGAAACGTATGGACCTAGATAATCAGAGAAATGTAATTTAAAATGAATATTCTCAAACGGATTAAATTTGACGTTTTTCGAGAGTAACTTATCATTATAATGCATTAATATGACTTTAAAGATGAAAAACATATCTGTTTTTCATAATCGATCCAATTCTGAAAGTAGTAAGAGCAAATTTTTTATTATTATTATTATATGCTGTATTTTTGTTGGCTATCTCGGTGACATATTATTCATTTCAAATTAATTTCTGGAACGTAATTTATTCATGACAGAGTCTTAATGAAATACGAAAGCTCGCTTTACGACCGATTTCCAAGAACCAATTAAGTCGTAAAAGCGGGGTCTACAGTGTAGTCTAGAATAGTTATTGTTAATGCTTTCTTGTATTTTATTATTTAATTTTTATATTATCATTTTATTACTAAAATCTTCTAATATATTCCCTTTTTTTAATATCATGATAAATATATTTATTATGACATATTCCCTGTATCANAAAAATACATATATATATATATAATTCTGTGTGACTGTATTCTTTCCTCTTACGAAGATAAGATTTTTTTTAAAATGATAATACATTATATAAATGGATATTAGTAACATATTGACAAAGATTGATCAGAGCAAAGAAGAAACTTGATTTCTTTTTTAATGTTTAATAATTAAAAATTATAATATTTTAGTATACAACAAAAATATTTTATTAATCTACTCACTGTTTTAATCAATCTCTGCCATTATATTTTTATTTTGATCACGTATAATTAAGTTGTAAAACTTAATTACCGTTTAAGATGTGTACTGTGATGCTACTTGGCTGAGCATTTGAAGGGCCGCAAGTATAATTTCCTGAATCGGCAGGTAAAGCATTTTTAATGTACAACCTGCTAATAGCAACATCACCATTTAATTTCTGAACTGTTATTTCTCCTCGAGTAGAATCATAATTAATCATTCGATCATCGTGATACCAGAAGACGAAGATAGGAGGTTCTGGGCTTTGAGTTATAATACAAGTTAAGTTGATTGAACTCCCTGTTTTGACGTATAAATCTGGTGCTTCGTTTATTGCAGCTTTAGCTACTGTAAAAGAAAGGAAAATTTGCTTAGCTAAGATTTAAAAAAAATCCATAAAAAGTATTTAGAACTCGAGCATAACGCTTCATAAATTTATCCTTTTTCGTGTTAAAGATTTAAGCTAAAGATTTGAGATTATAAAAATATATAAACGTATACTTTATAAAAGGATAAAGGCTGTAGTTTTTTAAGATTAAAATCTGTTTAACGTTATAAATTTACAATAAAATATGGCAAAATTTTAATTAAAGTTAATTGCTAAAAACATTGGAAACTCGACATCAATCTTTATTTTAACTGGATAGAAACTTAATTTACTAACAAAATAAACAAGAATTAAACTAATCTAACATAAAATACTTTATACTCACTTCTTAAATTATCAGATAATATCTATACCATTACGAAAGAAGGCTTTTTTTTCAGGATAGAAACCATAAAAGAAAAAATAGTGCAATAAATTTAAAACGAGTTTAATACTAATAAAAAAAAAGGGTCAGCTTTAATTCTCAATTTATAACCAAAAAAAAACCTAAATTTTCATAAAAGTCCATCAAGCAATTTAAATTGCACATTTCCAAGCTAAAAATTAATTTTGGAAAGCACTTCTTCACTTCAACTAGAAGTAAAAAATATTCCTTATATGATAAAAAAAAGTTTGAAACATTAAACAGAAATGGCACTAAGAAAAGTTGTTCAGCATATTCGATTTTCTTCAGCTTAAAATATTCTCTCATCTATATATATATTCTCTGAGATAGCTAGCAATAATGTTCATTAATTTCGAGTCATTCTTCAGAGGGGCATACATTTATCTTCTCTCTAATACAACTTGTCACAACAGTGGCACGTAGTCAAACATCTTTGTCATTCAATGACAGACGTCGATGGATTAATATTGAAGCAGTATTAAAAGCGAAGTAAACTATCCACGTAATTTTTATTCTATAAAAATACATTATCTTTTATAAGCTAAATGATATTTATATTCTTTCGTTGTACTTACCTAAAACTGTCAAATTAACAAAATAGCTAATTTTAGGATCGGAACTGACTTGGCATTCGTAAACACCTGCATCTTTTAATTGTGAAAATTTAATTTGTAAAGCCCAATCGTTTGTATTTTCGATGTGGATGGCTTGAAATCTATCTTCACTAGTATATGTATCCAGTCCAACTGTTAAAACATGAAAATCTATTCTTCTAATCCATGATACCTGAAAGAATAATAATAATAATAATAATAACCTTTAATGTATTAAATTATACAGTAAAACCTGTGTAAAACGGACCTGTAACGAATACTTTTCCGGTTTGATAGGTTTTCTTTAACACAGAAAATTACTCCGTTACGAAGAATTTTTTCCGTTTTAGGCAGGTTTTACAATATAATTACTGGTTTACTGGTATAAGTGTATAATTATACGCTTTACCAGGGCCGACGAGAGAAAATAACGGGTTCCTCTAAATTTCTAGGGCCGTGGTTCATANTTTTTTTTTTTTTTTTTTTTTTGATAAAGTAGTTCTATTAATTGGCAAGTTCTATCTGTAATTTAGATGGATTTACTGTCCGGAAAACAATTTAGAAAAGTTATTTTCTGCTTAGAAAGTAAGATAAAACGACAGGTTTATAGATTTAGTTATAGTTTACGATAACAAGGATCCGAAAAAATAAGGTTAAAAAAACAACCTTTTAAACTCTCCAGTATGAAATGGAACTAAGTGATAAAGTATAACACTACAGTTTCATTTCCTCTGTTAGAATCTAAGACGTTTAGAAGTGAGTATATCCTTCAAAACAATGTTTAACGTCAATCTTATTTTTGTCCAGGTTCTATACGTTTTTTTTTTTTTTTATCGGTTCGTCATGCGTCTTTTTTGAAAACTTAAAGGTTCAAATCAGTAATACAATCTCTGCAGCAGCTAGGTATGTCAAAGGATTTCTTTGAGACAATTGTCTGAGAGAAAAGTAAAGAAGCTCAGTTACAGTTACGAAAGTAGACGTAACAATCTTTAGATCTAGATTGTTCTTTATCCAGAAACAAGAGCCTGAAAGTCTCATACATCGTTCAATTTCCCGTAAGTCATCCAATCTCAAAAGAATTCATAGCATCTCCGGTTCCCAAGTGAACGTTTTCGATGTTGCATGTGATAAGTAGAAGATAGAAAAAGTTAGAGCGAAAGTAAGAAAATCATGTAAGAGACATGTAAGACAACCATCCAGTGTAAAATTCGTTTTCTTATTGAGACCATAGCAAATTCCTTTGGGAAGGTGTAAAGAAGTGGAAAGTGAGATTGTAATTGTAGACGTATTACAGAAAAATTTAAAGTCTATTACATAAGTTTGTATAAATTTATTCCATTTTTAGAATACTTCAATATAATTTCTTATCTGTAAAGTAATTTTCTATATTTATGCACGTTTTCTTTTGAATCACAATCTATAAAAAAAATATTTGTTGTAGTCTGAATGATAATTTGGTTCATAAATTGTATATCAAGCATAACTTTTTAATGATTTCTACTCTGATATAAACATTTTCTTTAATATAAATTACATTATTAATACTGCAGTTTGACGAGAAAGATAAGGACAGACATTCACGTTTAACATTGATTATTCTTAACGAATCTATCAATGAAAAACATACTTTATAGTTTTTATAACTTAAAATTTATATATTTTAATATTAATAAAACAAATCTATAGGATTTTTTTATTTGTATAGAAGCAAACGATAAAAAATTCTTGTGTCAGATATAAATATCTGACCTACATTAAGAACTTTCTTAAACAATTATCCAAACAGATGGATAGATCTATCCATATTTACAGGCTTAATCAAATGAATATAATCGATCGTCCTAAAATCTTAACTCAATAGAATCTGCTTAATAATTTATTGTGTCTTCCGTTAGACAGAAGTCTTAAGTTATTTGTTTAATGCTTTTATTGAATGAATGTCGATAAGTCGAAAAGATGATGAGTTATATAATATTAATACGAAGACAATTCATGTGTAGTTTGAAGAATTCATTAAGTTAATATACTTTTTATTGAATCTATCATATTTTAAATAAGATCTCTAGTTTGCCCATCAATTAGAAAAGTTTGAAACGAACAAAATTAGAGTGCAAGCATCGATGTGGTATATTTTAATCTTTAAGTCTATTTTTAATACATATTTTTCTTTAAAAAACCTCTACTAAAATACTAATGTAATGTCTTAAAATTAAATTTTATTTAAATAATGTAATTTATTTTAAGAATTTGTTAATAAATTATATTTTTATATGTAACTAGCTGCGTGTGAATAAAGTTGCTCGGGGTTTTGATGGGGTGGAGGTTAGTGAAATTGGGATTGGAAGAGGACGATAAAAACAATGGTTTTAGTAACTAAAATGTATGGTAAATTTATTTAAATCTTTGAAATTTACAATAATAAAATTGCAAAACACAAAAACTTACTCGGGCTTAAGTTAAGAGAGATGGATTTTGGGGTAGTTGGGCGGAGATCCCAAAGTAGGCTAATTTTTCTGGGACATCGAAGAATATTCATGACAAACTTAGTGTGGATACGTTGAACAGTATATAATCCTTTACCTAACATACATATTTTGACTTTTATGTAGGGTAAAACGGGGTGACACACCTATAGTTTTTATGAACGCATATAATTCGCTTAACTGTGGATTCCAGAAGAAATAGATATAACGCATTTACAGCCAAGTGTTATCTTTTAATGATAGTGAAAAAGTTAAATAAAAAATAAAAACGCGACTTAACATAGATGGTGCAACAAAATTACACTTGTCTGTTTTGGGCATCTATCAGATACCTCCGGGAGTGTTTCCTAATGCTTAAGGATAGGATTCACCTAAATTTCACCTAAACCATACCGGCGAGATGGCTATTTTTATATTTTAAATTAAAATTATTAGGAGAACCTCTTGAATAAACCATCTCTAGTCATCTCACCCAGTTTTAACCTATAGTCCTGTAGAGATTTAATTGTTCGATTTCATAAATTATTTGAGATTATACCTATATAAATCTGTCAATATGAAAGGAAAAGTATTAAAACCCTATACAATTTACACATATTAAAATATATTTAGAAGAAATAAATAAAATAGAGTAGAAAAAAGGATTTCCTTTAACATCGTATTGAAAGCAACGTGGTCATGTTTTTGAAGTAGTAGGAACGGAAGCAACGGGGTTACTTACTTTAATTTGTATCATTCGGTGAGTATAGAGAAATTCAATCAGACTAACAACTGGTTGTATTTATTAAATCATGTTATTTCCTAGATTAACTTAATATAGGGCACTATTAATCTTAGTCAAGCTCCAACCAAACTAATTGGCAATATCTGATACATTAGCTGAGGTTTCGACATAATCCAATGAATTCTATATATAGACAGATAAGGAAATTAATCAGAGAAATATTTATTAAAATATGCTAATAATAAGTTACGTACAGTACAGTATTCAAGTTTGAATAACCTACCTACTTTCCTAATTCGGTTTATAATAATGATATAAATCTAAAATTTTATTAATTTTTTTTTAAATTTTAAATAAATATATGATTATATAATTACGCAGGAACCATAATAATATCTACAAAGTTTATTAATTTATATACATCATCTGTTCTACTCACAAGAACGATAACAGATTTTTCTCTAGAAACTAACTAAAAACTAAATAGTTTTTCTTAGTTTTCTTCCAAAATAATGAGATTTACTATTTGTTTTATAATTAGTAAGGAACCTTTTTATGTTTTTTTTTAAATTCGTATTTTAATGTAATTCTGTTTTAAATTTTTAATAAAGCATAAATAAAGACAGAAACTAAACTCATCCGTATAAAGAGGTTACTCATCATTATTCTTCCTACGACTTTATCATTAATTATTTTGATTTATGAACAAAGATTTATAATTATTTAGCAAACATTTAAAATATTAACAAGTAAATCTTGCTTTGTTGTTATAATTTAAACATCATTGAATCTTATTTAGAAGACGAACCATTAACATTATTTAACATTTATTCATTTACTCAAAAAAAATTCGAAAGTTAGTTAGTAAAGTTAGTCTTTAAGGAATAATTTAAATTTTGCTATTCATTAATTAAGCAAATTTTCTGTTCATTAAATAAAGACCTATTTTAATTAGGTCTTGTTAATAATTTAGAATAAATTTGCCTTAATGTCTGCTTACTTTCATCTTTAGCAACTTTAGGATAATGTGGGCACTTCTCTTCATTTTACTAAACACATTTAGCAGGAGGAAACTCAAATGCAATCGCTTTATCTCCCCTACACCCTGAAGGGAGTAGAAATGTCTATCATTCGTTTCCCCTACTCTCTTTAAGTATGTGGAGTAGGTACTTATCACTTTAGCTGTCGATTCATTCAGAGGGATGCAGAGGTTATTTTCAGATTCAGAAGGGCAGAAGTGTATTTTTAGAGGGAACTACACACATTCTAGATCCATAACAATAGCACGATTGACCCTCTTCGTTCAACTTTCATTCTATAGATTATTTCATTATAGATAGCGAAGAAAATACTCCCGAGGGAAGTAAAGTTTATTTAAGCACTAAAAATGTTAATAAAAAAAAGTTACAACTTTTTAAAAAATAAAATAAAATTTTATTTAATTCTCTTAAGAATCGCATTAGTTAAATAGTTTGGACGAATAAAATTAATTTATAGAGAACTTTAAGTAGCTCGAAAATAATTTCATAAATCTAATTTTGTGTCTGGATGATAAACACGATGAATATAGGATTCAGACTTACACGAGATGCCTAATTTACTGTTATCCAGAGTCTCTTCAAAACCGTGTTTTCCGGAATGTAATATTCTATTGTTCTCGACGTCAAACAACAAAACTGATTTTAATGAGGAACAATGTTACGTTCTCTCAACCGCTGCATATTAACTGTACATTAACTTCTAATTTGTCATAGAAAATCTTATCTACGTCGAAAAATATTATATATTTGTCGTCTGTATTTTATTTATTATTTTATGCCTTTTTTATGTTCATATTATTTATTAAATTCCTGTATATTTAACAAGCTCTTATGTATATAAACCGTTTGATTTTATGAATATATAAACTAAAAATTTATTAAATAACTATATTTTCCTGTAAATTTTCTATTTCGTGTTTGTTTTTTTATGTTTTTAAAAAAATATATTATATAAATTCTTAATATTTGCAAGTTATTTGCATGTAAAATTTCTTATCTATATATATATATATAT